TGGCAATAGGTACATGCACTGTTCAATGTGGTTTTGCTTTATCAAATAATTTTACACATAGATGGCTCCAGAAGCACTTATGAGTATTAATCAAGGACCTAATCCCCCTGTTTACCTCATTCTTAGAATTTTTGTGAAGTAAGGTTTTATTTCTGATACTATTACAACTGTTATTAACATTATTATCATTATCATTATTATCAACCCACAGGCACTAGGTACATGCACTGTCCACTATAGATTTGTTTTATTAGTTTTGCTTAATATTGGTGTTAACATTCTGGACATTATTATCTTTAACCCGATGCTGAGAGGCCTCGCCTATCAGTGTCATAACAAACTGCTCAGTCTGTGAAGTACACCTGTACATGTGGCAACGTGCCAGAGCGCTTGGAGGGGGACATTCTGCTTGATGTAATGGATTCCCATACCCAGTGTCTGCCCACTGCCAGAAATCTTTAGAGTTTAAAATTCTCGAGGAATTTTTTCCCCTGTCAGCATTGGATTAAAACTATTAATCTAATGATTAATGATTAATGATTAGAAGAAATGAATGTGCTAGACATCAAAGGTCATATAGCACTATAGTAAAGTATTGTGGCTGTAGGATAAAATGGTAGTGAAAAGCGTATAGAGGGGGAGCAAATGGAATATACAGTGGGGATTTGTAAATTGGGATGTGGTTAAAGGTATGGAGTGAACAGATCAAATGGAAAGTATATGTCTGAGGAAGGGAGAGTAATACTGTATGAAGAACAGGGGAAAGTGGTGAAGTATCAGAAATAATGTCAGGAGGGGAGGGATCCAGAGAAGAACATTGTTGTGGCATAAGGGAGTCACGTGAGCATCTAAGTGGGGGTGGTAAGAATAATGGGGAAGGAAGAGGAATGGTGATGCACATGGCAGAGGAGAGGATGTGGTAATTTTTGGGTGAGTGAGAGGAAGAGGGATAGGTGGACCTTGAGGAGGAAGAGGATGGATACCAGCAAATAATTTGAATATAGAGCATATAGGAATAAAGGAATTAGAGGGTGATTGAGGGAATGAATTATTCTCTTGAGTCATGTTTAGGAACTTTTGGATGTCTTCAAGAATTTCAGGAAGGGGAGTTGGGTGGGGAGGTCTGAAAAACAAAGGTTTTCTTATGTGGAAGAGAAGAGGGAATAGATGTCCGAGGAGCAGAGGGAGAGGTGGGTGTAGGAGAGGATGTAGTAGGAGAATATAGAGTGGAATGTACAGATTGCGACAGGTGAGAAGGAGGAGGGGTAGGCACTGGGGAAGTGGTAGAGATTGGAGTATCTGGATTTAGACTGAAAAGGGAATTTGACAGGAGGAGAGAGTAGAGGTAAGATGATTTGGAGTAGAGGGAAGAAATACTTAGGGAGATGCTGAGACTTCTTGAGAAGATGGGAGGGGAGCAGAGCAAAGTACAGTTTTGGAACAGGTAGAAAGAGAAAAACCTCATTGGTGTGCTTCTTGTCTGGCCTCACATAGAATGAGGCCTAGTTTGAATCTGAGAACTGCTACCTCAGATTTGAGCATGTAGGCAGGGCAGCTCCTATAAAATACATTGTAGGAGCCACCACAACTGGCACATGTGTGTGACTGAGCAGAGCAATTCAAACATTCATGACCAGGTTGGGCACATTGAGGGCAGAGGGCTGTGGAGTGACAGTGTTTAACTGGGTGGCCAAAATGCCAACGCTTCTGACACTGATAGGAGGTCAATATGGTCGACATGGGCAGGACACTCCACCAATAAACTTTATAGGGGAGGTCATGTCTATGAAACCTAATCTTGGCAATACTGGTGTAGGACTTTCGTTGGCCTCTGGGAGGAATAGTGTATCAATGGACTGACATAGCATCATAATCGATGAGGCATGCAAGCTTCGTCTGACCAAAGGCCTGACAATTAACCAAGAGAATACCATGCCTGTGGCTTCCAGAGTATGATTGACATAAAGCCAGCCTTTCATCCTTTGAAGCACGGCTCTCACACCTTAGGAAGTGGACAGAAGGGGATGATGAAGAAGAGAAGGAAAGGAAAGGGGGAGAAGAATAGATCATGCAAAATTAGCTGAGACAAGGGCTGAGGTCCAAGGCAGGGGTGATCCCCTACATTGGGCTCCAGTCTCAGTCTCCTAAGCCCCCCATGACAAACGAGCAAGAGTTTAGGGGGGGGGGGGTAATCTAATAGTAATCAACTGAAGAGAACATCTTTTATAAAATTCAAGGAATAGGATAAACAGGTGACAGGTAAGGTTAGTAATTGACTCCTTGGTAACTAAGCACTTGTAGAGTCATCTAAGTGTAAGCAAAAATAATAAACAAAAAACAAAGTGGATAGGGCATGGGAAAGTAATCCCAAAAAAGTAATTTTCAAATAAGGATCAAAGTATCTTAATTATTATATTTAATAATTCAAAAATATCCTAGTACAAATCTGAAGCTTTTATAGTAAAAGGAAATATCACTTCTTAAGGTAGACTACCCACAGAAAATATATCTTTAAACAATTTTACCATTTTCCTGATCTCCTCTACTGCACAGCCAAAACTAGTTGCTTGAAATCCTGAATATCTGTAAGTCTCCAAGAGCTTCTGATAATCAATGCCATTGTTGTAGTCATAGCCTGAAAAGAAAGCATATTTACTAAAAACTATAATAAATCACACAATACATTATTTTCTTGGGAGGTTTAAAATCATTATTCCAAGTTTCCTCACAGATAATCCACCAGCATTTTTTGTGTATTTGATCATTTATTTACTGCTGTTTAGTATCATAATTCAGTTCTGGAGTATTATTCATTTATTTTTTTATTTCTTCTATGTCACCATTCCTTTCAATCAACTTGAGAATCTATCACTTCCAGTATTAAAATAATCTCAGACAGGTTGAAATTATGCTCTCAAATCTCAGCTTTGTGATCAAGGTATAGTCTATACCTTGTTCAGGTGTCTCCTTGTTTCTCTTCTAATTCTTTAATCTCACTGTATTTCTTTGAACAACCTGTTAAACAGCTACTACTATTAGAAAATATTAAAGAATTAGCAAAACCACTATACAGAATAACTAGGCTATAGATCAAGTAGAAAGGACACCAGATAACAAGAATAACAACAACAACAATAATAAAGGTTATCCATCTATAAACAGGGAGTTTTGCAACAACAACTTACACAAACCTGTGAGAGGCTAGAGAAGACCATGTTTACCAAATCTGAGCTAGAAGAAGGGCATTATTTGACTAATCTCTAAAATTAAATTTAACAGGTATTTCAACAGGAATAACAGGAATTTTCATAGTATTCTTGACTGACAAATTATCAAAAGAATTATAATGGTGAAGCACTGGGAAAAACAAAAAGGTATTTCCATGTGTAACTTGGTTCACAAACTTCTTGGTACATAAACTATCAACCTATTGGATCTGGGTGCCTCACGGTTCACGCATGGATCAAAAGCCAGACCTCAGGATTACTTGAGTGGTGACCCTCCTGGGTGAGTTTTGTAGGGCCAGCTCACACAAAACATTCACAAACAGTATCAAGAATACTTGCCTCCTCTTTGCTAGGCTATTAGCTCTTATCCTGCATACACTGTTTAACCACTTTCCAAGGTCTTTATTTGTCATTTTTTATGTTCTATAAAGATGACAACACATATACTGCTTTTGTTGAACAGACTCCATACAATCTCTCCAGGTAGTCTACAACTCTGTGCAATAACAATAATAATAAGTAACATGTCTTTTTTTTATGTTTTCCTAATATTCAATTTTCCATGGCACATCTAGTGCCATTGGCCAATACTGGTAAGAACAGGTTACTGCCCATGGAAATAGTGTCCTTACTGGAGCCAGTGATCTTCCGGGTATGGCTCACCTATGGAACATTCCACCCTTGTTTATCAGTGGATATAATGCAAGAGACCCTTCACAAAGGTCCAGTGAGTCTAATATCCTTCTCCCAGGCTGTTGTTTAAAGCAAATTAATTGAGCACTGACACCTAAAATATTAAAAGAATAAATTCATAAATGACATTACTATATACCTATAAATGCATATACAGTTTATATATAACAATCAAAAATCCCTAATAATAAATTTTAATAAGTTAACCAAATTCAAGACCACACTTTGTAAAGTGACCTATGATGACTGGACACTAAATTAACCTCAGTTCCTTGTTTTCTTTTATAGTATAAAGAATCTAAATAAAACAAAGCAATAATGTCATTACCTTGAACCACTGGTGTCCCTTCAGGGACTGCTTCTGACTGAACAAGCACAGCATCTCTTGCAATATCATTTTGGGGTTCCATTATTTAATATAATATGTAGAGATCTGAAACAGATTGTCTATTAAAGTCTTAATTTAATATCTTAGTTTTGTAATTTAGAAGGAAAAAAATATTTATAACAATGTATTTTTTGTAACACTAAAACAGCCAAGAAAATATTCTCCTTTATTGGTGGTATAGTTAGAAAATACACAGAATAAATCACTAATTTTATCTTAAATCTTTACAATTTTTTTTTAGCCAATGTAGACTATACCAATATAAAGAGGAGAGAGGAGAGGAGAGAAGAGAAGAGAAGAGAAGAGAAGAGAAGAGAAGAACCAATATAAAGAGGAGAGAGGAGAGGAGAGAAGAGAAGAGAAGAGAAGAGAAGAGAAGAAAAGAAAAGAAAAGAAAAGAAAAGAAAAGAAAAGAAAAGAAAAGAAAAGAAAAGAAAAGAAAAGAAAAGAAAAGAAAAGAAAAGAAAAGAAAAGAAAAGAAAAGAAAAGAAAAGAAAAGAAAAGAAAAGAAAAGAAAAGAAAAGAAAGGAAGAGAAGAGAAGAGAAGAGAAGAGAAGAGAAGAGAAGAGGAGAGGAGGAGAAGGGGGAGAGTGGGTAGGGGGAGAGGGGGTAGGGGAAAAGTGGGAAGGGGAGAAGAGAAGAGAAGAGAAGAGGAGAGGAGGAGAAGGGGGAGAGGGGGTAGGGGGAGAGGG